TCAGAAAATATCAATTTCTCGGCAGTGCAAAATTTTACAGCATAAAGAGGGATGTGAGAAGGGTTGGCAGTCTGAAAACACACACATAATAATGCTAGTTAAGCCGGGGGTGGTGGTGCATGCCTATAATCCTGCATTTGGGAGGCTGAGGCAGGTGAATCACCAGGAGTTCAGGGCCAGCATGGACTACACAGTGGGACCCTGTCACCAAAACCCCAAAATAATAATTTAACAAACAAGGCAATATAGCTGTTTTCGTTTTATAAAAACAGCCTGTCCTGTGCACAGCCCCTGCTGGGTGCCGGCGCGCACACTCACTGCTGCAGAGGCTCTGCAGAGTGGATCCAAGCGCGAAGGCCAGGCCGGCAGCGCATGTTGAGGGAAGGACACAAGTGCTAGACAACAGGGTGGCCTGCTGTGGCAAAGCAAGGGAAGGGCAGCCCGGGAGACCAGCTGCAGGGGTCGGGAGAGCGCTTGGACAGATCGACAGCTCAAGCGGGAGCCAAGGACTGGTTTGTTTTGTTTTTTTGAGACAGGCTCTTGCTTTGTGGCCAAAAGTGGCCTTCAACACTTTACTCTCCTGCCTCGGCCTCCAGAGAGCTGGAATTGCAGCTGTGCACCACCAAGATCACCCTAAGAGTGTGTCAGCACTGGGTGGTTGGTGGTTTTCAGGAAGCCGTTGTTCTGGCCTCCGCGGGAGCTGGGCTCGGGAGAATCAGTCGGGGTGGGCGCAAGTCGGGAGGAGTCCCAGATTGCTTGGCCCAGGCGGGAGCTGAACGCAGACCGGTCCGAGCAGTACTGCGGGGTGGCAGCGGTGGGAGAAGTTTTAGAGCCGGGCCTTGGGGACCCAGGGCGCCTGTACCCAGGGCCTCCAGGGAGACTGGGGGGAGGCGCGGGGTGCGCTGGGGCTGGGGGCAGCCTGCCTCCTGCTCCTTCCTGTCTGAGTCACTCCCAGGGCAGCTCCTCTTCCCGGCGTGGGCGCCCGGCCAGCGGGCGGCGCCGGGAGGGGCGG